AAATACCTGGATTTTGAAGAATCTGAAGGAGATTATGCACGAATCGTTGCCTTGTACGAGCGATGCCTTGTGACATGCGCATTCTACGACGATCTCTGGTTTCGATACGCCAGGTGGATGTCTGGCCAGGATGGAAAGGCAGAAGAAGTTCGTAATATTTACGTGCGGGCCTCAACAATGTTTGTGCCTATCAGCCGGCCAGGCATTAGACTGCAATGGGCTTACTTTGAAGAGAGTACAGGTCGTGTTGATGTTGCTCTTGACATTCATGAGGCTATTCTTCTGAGATTGCCAGACTCTGTCGAGGTCATTGTCTCATGGGCCAACGTTGAGCGACGACAAAATGGAATCGATGCCGCCATCCAGGTGTACAAGAATCAAATCGACGCCCCTACGGTCGACCTCTACACCAAGGCCGCATTGGTTGCAGAGTGGGCCATGTTGCTCTGGAAGGTCAAAGGATCTACTGAAGAAGCTCGTGAGGTTTTTGCCAAGAACGTAACATGGTGTGGTGACAGCAGACTGTTCTGGGATCGGTGGTTCCAGTTTGAGCTGGAGCAGCCATCAAGCGCCGAGACTGAAGCTCAGCATGGCGAGTGTATGAAGAAGGTGTTTAACGAGCTTCGAGAACGAAGCCGACTTTCTGCACCAGTAAAGAAGGACTTGGCCCAGATCTATCTCAACTACTTGGTTGAACGGGGCGACAAGGATGCCATGAAGGTATTCCTGCAAATTGACAGGGAAATCTTCGGGTAAGTTGCCTTTTTGTCATCGTATTAGGAATCATCCGCTAACCCATTACAGGCCATCGTCAGTAGCGAAACTGTCCACAGGAACTGGCAAGGAAAACGGTGCTGCAAAGGGCGAACTGGATGAAGCTAGTAGGCAGAGAGCCGAGGCACAATACGTTCATTTCTATGAAGTTCATGGGGAGCCAGAGGCTGATGCACAAGGCAACGCAGACTTTAACTGAGAACGGAAACGCAATAGACGACGTGTGAGGCTGCTATAAATGATGAAACTGGCAAGGGTTAACATATGAAGGAAACAGCGTTCCTGCAAGTGGAACAAGTATTGGATGACGCTGGAAAATTAATGGAATTTCTCACAGACATGATGCTGGGCTTCCAGAGTTCGATAAGGAATTTTTGTTATGAACGAATAAGTAGCAGAGCTTACAGCCTACAGAAGATAATAGACAGTATATATATATCCCACATTGAAAAAGGAGTTGTTGATGAGTGGAATTATTACAGATCTTGTGGAGTATAATCGAACACTTACATTAGTGCTGCTGGAGCCAATCTGTTTCCACCGGAGAATTATCGGTGAACGTTGACCAACGGGGTTCGGCATATGCTCGCCGTCTGAAATCTGGGGAAGCCAGGCTGCTCGCCGTCTATGACTTTCATGGATCATAATTGGAAACTTCGAACTAACTTGTTAGGTATTGCGTGAGATTTATGAAGATCGCTCAGCCCAATTAGAGTCCAGCTGGAAATGTACAAAGGCAAAATAGGTTGCAATTTGCTGATATGACGATAGATCACATGTGAGAGGCAGGCGATTTGGAATCTTTGAGCCTGGTCGCAAGTGGACCCCTGTCGTGTAAAAAAGATTCCATCTCTTTGTGCTCCTGTATCCACTTGTGGCTAATATCACTTCGAAGTTACGGGCTGATGACTTATATCCCGGATGAGAGACGTTGGAGCAGAGATACGTAGCCTGGAATGGAGGGTCACCTTCAGGGTCCTGGTGCATCGGAATTTCCCCATCTGTTGGACAGTCAAACTCCAATTTTGACTAGCGGAGCCCTTATGGTTGGTCGCCCTGTAGCTCACAGCCGAAAAGGGCCTCGCATTCTGGTTTGACACATGGCAGCCGTTTTGACGACTTCCTCATAACATAAGTTAATAACTGTAACAGTTCGACGTTCCACGCAACATTAACCCCTGACGTTGCTTCACTCAGGCCTCAGCATTAGTGTCCTCTCAGAGGCAAGAGAATCTCCATTACCAAGAATCCCCACTGACTCCACCGGGTCCATCCCGGCGTCATCCCCCACCAAAAATGGAAAACATCGGGACTCTGATACAGAATTGACCAATGACCAGAGACCGATTTCGAGACGTGGCACCGGCTCATGAAGCCGGTACCGCTTCGAAGAGGTTCTGGGGAAATGATGTGAGGAATCATTGGAATCCATGACCCACAGGTCTTTGGGCAGACAGTTATCGAGCATGAAGAGTATGAAGGCTCACGCGAAAGAAGGGGCCCTTTAGATAGCACATTGAGGCGAGATCGAAGAATACAGAGCCGCTGTTTTCGGTGTAGAATGAGTCTATGGGGGTCTAGACGGACCTAGCAGTGATTGGAAGAACGGAAGCCTTGCCATTCATGTTCCGCAGCCTTCATGAATCGCGTTCTGACGGCAGGTGAACTTATCAGTCAGGGTCGGAGTTGCCTAACGGTAACTGACACGGCAGGTCCCCCGTCTCCTCGGCTTCCCACCAAACTCAACCGATGCCATCCCCTCTTATATGAAGGTACAGTACCGTTCGTCTCAGATCTTCTTTCCTTCCCTCCCATTATTTCTCTTTTTCTTCTCGTGAAGCTACTTCTCTGAAGCGCATCAGGACTTTGCGATATCTTTACATTCAAGGTACGTTGAGGTCTTGCACCACAAGCTACCTACCTACACACCCTTTCAGCACCCAACAACACACAGGCACACCTGCAATAGCCGGCCTCGTTGTCTTGCTCGCCCATTCCTCGAACTGATATTGATGTTTCTATATTATAGATGGCCTCTGCTACCCGACAGTTTGCCCGCGCGGCCACTCGCGCCACTCGCAATGGCTTCGCTATTGCTCCCCGACAGGTCATCCGCCAACAGGGCCGCCGCTACTACTCTTCTGAGCCCGCACAGAAGTCCTCTTCGGCCTGGATCTGGCTGACTGGTGCTGCCGTCGCTGGAGGTGCTGGCTACTACTTCTACGGCAACAGTGCTTCTTCCGCCACCGCCAAGGTCTTCAACCCCACCAAGGAGGACTACCAGAAGGTTTACAACGAGATTGCCGCTCGCTTGGAGGAGAAGGACGACTACGACGATGGCAGTTACGGTCCCGTTCTAGTCCGTCTTGCCTGGCACGCTAGTGGCACTTACGACAAGGAGACTGGTACTGGTGGCAGTAATGGAGCGACCATGCGATTCGCTCCTGAATCTGACCATGGTGCCAACGCCGGTCTGGCTGCTGCCCGCAAATTCCTTGATCCTGTCAAGGAAAAGTTCCCTTGGATCACCTACTCTGATCTCTGGATCCTTGCCGGCGTTTGTGCAATCCAGGAGATGCAAGGTCCCGTTATCCCTTACCGACCTGGCCGTTCCGACCGCGATGTTTCTGGTTGCACCCCTGATGGCCGTCTTCCTGACGCTTCCAAGCGCCAAGATCATCTCCGAGGTATCTTCGGCCGCATGGGCTTCAACGATCAAGAAATCGTTGCACTGTCTGGTGCCCACGCTCTTGGCCGATGCCACGCCGACCGATCCGGCTACAGTGGTCCTTGGACTTTCTCTCCTACTGTCATGACAAATGACTTCTTCCGTCTCCTTGTTGAGGAGAAGTGGCAGTGGAAGAAGTGGAACGGCCCTGCTCAGTACGAGGACAAGTCCACCAAGTCCCTCATGATGCTTCCCAGCGACATTGCTCTTATTGAGGACAAGAAGTTTAAGCATTGGGTCGAGAAGTATGCCAAGGACAATGACGCTTTCTTCAAGGACTTTTCTAACGTCGTCCTCCGACTATTCGAGCTCGGCGTTCCTTTTGCCCAGGGCACCGAGAACCAACGATGGACCTTCAAGCCTACACACCAGGAATAAGTTACTGATGAATGTCGGTTAACACCTCGTTGAATTTACGTGAGAATTGAATTTGGTCATCATGTTAATCGATGAACCGGAAGAGCGATATTCGGAGTTTTGGTTGCGATCATTAGATGCTGGCTTAGAATGCTAGGTTGTTTATAGATTACGGGTCGGGGTTCAACTGTGGGAGCATGTTGCTATATGCGACGTTGATCTTGTATGGTAGGGACCAAAAGATTTTTCTTTTAACTTTTGTTCTAATTGCTGCACTTGAAACGTTGGACATGGCCATGACGGCACCTTGTCCAGGGGCCAGTGATCATTGAACTTGTTCCTGCGTCCGCCACCAACATTTGACTTCGGCTAAAACGCATACATTGAACGAAGCTAGCGTTGCCGATCCGATTGCTATGAAGCAATCTCGAAGCTTTGACAAGCAGAGAAAGCTATATCAACGAAGTAAGCGGTGCCAAGCTTAATGCTAGCTCTGGTTCTTACAAGTACAGGTCTCCGCTATCTTTTGTTTAAACCAAATGTGTAATTACAGCGTTTACATGGGTGTGCCCATGTAGACAATCATGAAAGATTGATAACGTTATCGTCTACAGTTGTTTGACAGCGGTTTAGCGTACTAGTAGTGGTTACATTATTCAGCATTTGCCTTCTAAAGAAATCTACGTACCTACCTATTCTAGAACATGGCACGAATATTGTTAGAATGGCAAAGGCAAGTGGAGGATGAATAATAATGATAATGATCTTAGTAAACAACCATCTTTCCTATCACGTCATTGTTGTTACATTTGATCAAATCCAGTGCTTGTTAGCCAAGTGGTACCTAAGAGTTATCAATAGAATCTCCAGACTGTTTTAGTAGTGTCAGGCAGTCTATATGAATATCATCCCTACCCTCAAAATCTCAGGAAGGAACCGAATAACCAGCTTTCATCTCGATACTATTCACAACTTGATTGGTGGGTGCTTCTGACATTAAATTCATACCTAGTCCAACAGATATCGAGGCCTGACTGAGTTGTTCTTACCAACCCTGTCTTCGCATACTACATAAGTACGCAGGTCTCAACCTTTGCAACAAAACAAACTGAACAACACTCAACACTATTATCAGGGAACTATGAGCAGTCAAATTCAAAACAAGGCAGCTGCCGGAGTTCCTTACTTCACTCCAACCCAGGAACCGCCGGCTGGTACCCCGCTCAAGACCGATTTGGTGCCGACTCTCTTCAAACCACTCCGTACGCGAGGTGTTGAACTTCAGAATCGCTTTGTCGTTTCTCCCATGTGCACCTACTCAGCTCAGGATGGACACCTGACTGATTTCCACCTTGTCCATCTCGGACAATTCGCTCTCCAAGGCGCCGGTCTTGTTTTCGTTGAGGCTACTGCTGTTGAGCCTCGTGGTCGTATCAGTCCCGAAGACTCGGGCCTCTGGGAAGATAGCCAGATTATACCTCTCAAGCGCATCACAGACTTCATTCACAGCCAGAATACCAAAGCTGCAATTCAGCTCGCACATGTAAGCTCAACCTGGTAAAGAGGTAGCCAAGGTTGGTGCTTGAACTGACATACATCACAGGCTGGCAGAAAGGCGAGCACAGTTGCACCCTGGATCGGTGGCTCTTTGAACAAAGCACTTGCTACTAAAGAAGTCGGAGGCTGGCCCAATGATATAGTCGGGCCTAGTGCTATTAGATTTGCTGATGATTTTGGAACGCCACATGAATTGACGATTGAAGAGATCAGGACCCTTGTGAAGCAATGGCAAGAGTCTGCTATACGAGCTGTCAAGGCTGGCTTTGATGTAATTGAGATCCACGCAGCTCATGGTTATCTTCTGCACCAGTTTCTTTCACCTCTCACCAATGTAAGTCACTTACAATATCAATGATGAGAAGGCTGAAAACTAACGCGATTTGCAGAAACGAACGGACCAGTATGGTGGAAGCTTTGAGAACCGTACCCGCCTGCTATTTGAGATCACTGAAGCTATTCGTGCCGTTGTTCCAGAGGAGTTACCTCTCTGGGTGCGCATCTCTGCCACCGAGTGGATGGAGTGGAACAATGAACCATCTTGGGACCTCGAGAGCAGTATTCGTCTCGCCAAGCAACTCCCATCATTGGGAGTCGACGTTCTCGATATCAGCAGTGGTGGCAACTTGAAGGCGCAAAAGATCAAGGTTCACCAGACGCTCCAAACAGACCTCGCAGGCAAGATCCGCGAAGCATTGCGTGCTGATGGCAAGGTGCTTCTGATTGGAACAGTCGGCTATATCACTGATGGCCCTTTTGCTCGTTCACTAGTCGAAGAGAGCGAGGATCCAAAGGCTGATCTCGTGCTTGCTGCAAGACAGTTCCTTAGAGAGCCAGACTTTGTGCTCAGCGCCGCAGACCAACTGGATGTTGATGTCAAGTGGCCAATTCAGTATCATCGGGCAACCCCAAAGAACCGTAAGCCGCACAGCAAATAAGGGATGAGAATTATGTTATATGATAGATAGCATTGATATAAATCCTATTTGTTTGATATACCCTCTTGAGTGACGACTTGGCTTGGCGGAGCTTCTTTTTCTCAAGGCAACGGGCGTTAGATACAGATACGAGATGCTCGTGAGCACCCAGAGCACTTTGAATTAGAAAAGTTTTAAAGATTACCAATATTGACAAGACCTTCGCCTTTGATTGTGGGCATGCTCACGTACTGTCTACGTAGACTGTGTCAGCAAAGAGTGTGAGGTTGTATTCTACTGCGATGGTGGGGCCGTAACGAGGTGGACGTGGGGCCGATATATTGAATAACGGAATCACATTTCGCCTCAATTCCTTCGATGGTAGTCCATATACCTTGAAGGGATCAATTGGGCTGAGATATGAGACAATGAGAAGTCTTTATTGATCTAATTGGTATGCAGTTATATAGTTGGCCGTAGTAGGCGCCCGATAGATATGATGGCGCAAAGTTACTTGCAGAATCTTGCAATGAACATTGCCGAAACTTACCTATTGTAGGGGAAATCTGCGTGGAGAAAGTACCTACACAAGGATTAATAATTCAAAAGCATGCATCATCAATAAGCAGGTGACGGATGTGACCCCAGCTAAGTTCTGCGCCTCGGATAGTTTGTCTCGAGTAAGACGAGGCTGGGCTGTGCTGTGCGGGCTCTTAGAGACGTGGCCTTTTTCCTATGCCTGCGATGAGTTTATTGCCACATTCTAAACAGATACTTTAGAGTCAGGTCATGTTAGTTTTCCAGGGGAAAGTGAGATAACCCCTCGAGTCTTTCGGAGCATCAAATCCCGTTTTGTTGCGACTCAATTGGGCAATTGTCTTTGCACTTCCCTAATTTGTCCTTTGATAGGATTAGATTCTAGTCAAGTGAACCCATATACGACGGTAGTAGGTCTCGACAGTGCAAAGACAATCAATGATTTGGAGCTAGAAGCATTGATATTGATGCAAGGTTGCATCGTGTGTTTTGAACTTGATCCTCTGGATGGATTTGCTCGACTTGTATTATTACATAGATTGTTGGTCGAACATGTATTATCCATCGTTCGTTTCCTATCAATGAGGTCCATGGCCAGGCGGGTGACAATCCCATCAATGCCCCTGGCTTCAAGGTCCCCTACAGCCGCCTAGATGGAGGCTTTGGCGCATCCTATATAGCAGCTTCGACCAATAATAACTGGCTTCAGATCACCACTAAGTCTAAAACAAGACTAGCCGCGAGTGTCCTCCGCCGCCGCTTTGGAGGGGCCGTGCTGGGCTGCAGCTGCAGCTCCAGCGGCATGGAGCCAGATGATGGAACGGAAAAGACTTGAAAGTGCCACCAAGCAAAAGGGACACTTGTTCACTTGAAAGATGGACCCCCAGACGTTTCCTCCACCTTTTCTTAGCGGGAGTTGGCTCCGGGCCCGGTGAGCTTGTAAGACAATCCACTGGAACGTCTCGCCGCCCACTGAGGCCAAGCGGGAACCACACTTTAACAGCAGGTACGGTACTGTGCAGCACAGCACTGTGGGTTGGATGTACGTTACCTGTCCTCAAGCTCCAACTACAAAACTCTCGTCCATCTTCCCTCCACTCCAATCCACCATTCTTCCTCCTCTTCCTTATCTTGTCTGCTTGCTTGTCTGTCACAGCGAAGCTCTTTCTTTGTGTTTTCTAGGATACCCCCAACCAGACAGCTCATCATGCACCACAAGAAGATCGCTTGCAGCTTCATGGCTGCTTTGGCTGCCTATGCCTCTGCTGCCGACTCGGACGTTAGCCAGCTTACCCAGGACACATTTGACGAGTTCGTCAAGTCCAACGACCTTGTCCTCGCTGAGTGTAAGTCATGATTGGCAGCAACTTTCTCCCGCAGACCGGCTACTGACATACCCCTCCATAGTCTTTGCTCCCTGGTGCGGTCACTGCAAGGCTCTCGCCCCCGAGTACGAGGAGGCTGCCACTACCCTCAAGGAGAAGAACATCAGACTCGCCAAGATCGACTGCACTGAGGAGTCCGACCTCTGCAAGGAGCACGGCGTCGAGGGTTACCCCACTCTCAAGGTCTTCCGTGGCCTTGAGAACGTCACTCCTTACTCTGGTCAGCGCAAGGCTGCTGGGTAAGTTGACCTTTCTTGCGATCTGTCAAGATTCCAACTAACATGAATCCTCCAGTATCACCTCATACATGATTAAGCAGTCCCTCCCCGCTGTCTCCATCCTCACAAAGGACACCCTCGAGGAGTTCAAGACCGCCGACAAGGTCGTTGTCGTTGCCTACCTCAACGCTGACGACAAGAGCTCCAACGAAACCTTCTCCAAGCTTGCTGAGGGTCTCCGTGATACCTACCTCTTCGGTGGTGTCAACGACGCCGCTGTTGCCGAGGCCGAGGGTGTTAAGGCCCCCGCCCTGGTTGTCTACAAGGCTTTTGATGAGCGCAAGAACACCTTCACCGAGAAGTTCGAGGAGGCGGCTATCTCTTCTTTCATCTCCACTTCCGCTACTCCCCTCATTGGTGAGGTCGGTCCTGAGACCTACGCTGGCTACATGTCCGCTGGTATTCCCCTTGCCTACATCTTCTCTGAGACCGAGGAGGAGCGCAAGGAGCTCGGCGAGGCCCTCAAGCCCATCGCTGAGAAGTACAAGGGCAAGATCAACTTCGCCACTATTGACGCCAAGGCTTTCGGTGCCCACGCCGGTAACCTGAACCTCAAGACTGACAAGTTCCCCTCTTTCGCCATCCAGGAGGTTGTCAAGAACCAGAAGTTCCCCTTCGACCAGGAGAAGGAGATCACCCACGACAGCATCGCCAAGTTCGTTGAGGAGTTCGACGCTGGCAAGATTGAGCCCAGCATCAAGTCTGAGCCCATCCCCGAGACCCAGGAGGGTCCCGTCACAGTTGTTGTCGCCAAGAGCTACAACGACATTGTCCTTGACGACACCAAGGATGTCCTTATTGAGTTTTACGCTCCTTGGTGCGGTCACTGCAAGGCTCTTGCTCCCAAGTACGACGACCTTGCTTCTCAGTACGCCGCTTCTGAGTTCAAGGACAAGGTTGTCATCGCCAAGGTTGACGCCACCCTGAACGACGTCCCCGATGAGATCCAGGGTTTCCCTACCATCAAGCTCTACCCCGCTGGTGCCAAGGACGCTCCTGTTACTTACCAGGGCTCTCGTACCATCGAGGACCTCGCCAACTTCGTCAAGGAGAACGGCAAGTACAACGCCGAGCTCTCCATCAAGGAGGAGGGTACCGAGGAGGCTGCCCCCGCCGCCAGTGAGGAGAAGAAGGACGAGAAGGCCGACGAGGATGTCCATGATGAGCTGTAAAGAATTCATGTCGCATTGTTAGTATACAAAATGGGGTATAACTGATTTCATGGGCGCGGGTTTTTATGGTGCTAAGATTTTATCGCACCTCTTAGGTATTTAGTTCTCGTGGCAATGGGACTGTTTCATGACTTGACTACTTACTACGTTTGACCTGACATTTTTCTATACATTAGACTGATTTGCTACATGTATGCTCATGCAGGCTGCAAAATGCTTGATAAATAACTTTTGCAGATATGCTAATACCGTAGTACAGAATCATACAGAACTTCCCCGATGTTTTCCGTGATAATGTTTCCTCGTAGCCCTGAAACAAGGCATAATGAGAGGCGTCATGATACCATCGCTTCCACTGACGAGCGAGAGCGTACTCTGTCTCCCAACTCAAAATATTTTATACACTTTCCATCGCTTGTGCTTTCCTGTCCATTTATTTCTTTCCCTGTGTCCTGGTCTCGAGAGCCTGGACGTGGTTGCTAAGGCGAGTGATGGAAGCCTGGAGAGTCTGCGATAAGAGACATTATTAGCACCCAAACTTTTTCTTGAGTGGAAGAGCATTCGGACAGAGTCGAACCTGTCAATTGCTTCATCCATCTGGATACGTACGTAGATGTCCTCAGTCAACAGGTCGTTGGCAGTCTTGTATTCCTTGAGAAGATAGCTGTAAGCGGCACTGCCGGAGAGGAAGCTACCGAGGAGGAAACCAAAAAGTCTAGTCGCAAAGTCAGTGATCTCAATCCATTCCGAAGCAACTTCTAAGCCATTACATACCCTCCACGGAAGGCTCCCAAGGGTTTCCGAGCAGGAAGAGGCGAGGCATCGGCCATTCGTCGGGCAGAGGTGCTAAAGGTTCGGCTAGCGAGCGCGCTGCTGCTGGAAGAGAAGATTCTTGTGGCCAGAGACATTGTTGCGATTTCGATGCTGCTGTCGATTTCGGAGGGTGCGCGTGGTGGGAGAGAATTGAGGTTGCGGTGTTTAGCTAGGAACGTTGGGTGATGGCGATAGCGAACAGCAGTAATAGGCGTCGAGGTATGGACGGGCGGGAGAGCTACAGCGTTACAGGTATCCGTAAGTGCTTGTCGGAGCCCGGTGCTCGGAATATTCTGAGCTTGGTGCCCTGTGTTTGCTGTACTGAGCTTTCGGGCTCATGATTGGCTACGTCACGGCATCTACGGGCCTACCTAGAGGTAGGGTGTGGATTTCCTCCATAACGATGTCGACGAACCAAAGTACTAACGAAACTCTTACCCTGCTGTTGCGTTCTCTACGTTTCATTGTTTCTCATGCTACCAGAAATCACGCGACAATGAACAACTTCGGGGTCGTCGAGCTCGCCAGCGCAAAGACAACTTCGGCGCCAGGATGGGCTTATGTCCCCGATAATACCATCAGTCGTTCAACAGCACCGACTAACAAGAAACGCGCCAGAAATGTTCCTGGACTTACATATAGCGATTTGACAGCTCGACAAGATAATAAGATTCGAAAGGAGGTCGAGGCCTTGGACAAGGATGGTGGAAAGGATAACACAATACCGTTGCCCGTGAAAAGTGGAAGGGGTATGTTCAATGACTGACGGCTGACTTACGATTGCCCTGGTCCAAGACTAATGTCCAACAGCCCAAGGGAAACATACACCAAATGTTCGAAAGATTCTACAATCGCAGAAAACTTTTGGAAATCATCTTGACGATTTTCTCGCGATGCAAGCTCTTGCCGAATCCAACCCTGCAACCTCTCGCGTATCCGGCGCAAACAACAAGCGTCCTTCTGTCAGTCGAAAAGACACCCCTTCATCCTCTAAACCACAACCAGATGAGGATACGACGATGTCCGACGCAAAACTCCTGCCTGTGCTTCCTGAACCGTCGAGATCTCCGCCAGCGAGTCATCCAGGCGATAATAACCCATTGCTTGTGTCGCGCGTACCTGAGATGCCGTCAGATGAAGAACTGCGCAAGCTTCTCGCACACCCTCCTCTCAACTATGGTGAAGCAACGGGTACTAGAGACACGAAATATCCTGCCAGATCGTTCTGCGAGGTTTGCGGATACTGGGGACGAGTGCGCTGTATGAAGTGCGGAACCAGGGTCTGCGCACTGGATTGTTTAGAGGCGCATAAGGAAGAATGTGTCACAAGATACGGACTATGAACAGTCTGAACAGTCTGAACAGTCTGTACACTGGGCGTTCTCTTGTTTCTCTTCTTCGTTTTCTTTGGGTTTGTGGCGTTTACAGTTGTTACGACAAGGCGTTATGGATTGGAAATTGGTCTGATACCCCTGCATGTAGGAGAAGATTCCAATTCAGTGAAGTACAAACACTCTACGACACTATTGATCGTGGTGGTCGAGCTGTCAGCTCGACTCGTCCCTCATGTGTCACTAATGTTGATAAATGCTACGACAGAATTGGTTGTACATCATAGAGTACATGTTGCTGAAGCAACGAGAATACAGAAATTTATCTGATGAGAGCAGAGAGATTCCAAGTTTGACGTGATCAATATCATGAATGGTAAGTTCAGATTGTAAAGCTTGTTAGAGTCAGGTTGCCCTTAAGCCAAAAATCTTGGTAGCCTTGTGGCAGAATTTAGTCCCTGCCGAAACCGATCAGTGACTCAAGTTTAACCCCACCTTCGCGTTTATGCCCCCCCCCCCCCCCCTTGTGCCCCGCCATTCGATAGTACAAGACCACTTTCAAGACTGCAACTCTTCCACCAAATCTTCAACATTAGTGCGAGGATCTCAACATGTCGTCCGATCAAGCTGATGCTGCCAAGGCGGCCGAAGGTGCTACTGAGCAGAGCCTTCCTTCTCGCTCTGCTAAGCAGCCTAAGGAGAAGCAATCCAAGGACAAGTCTGCCAAGGGTGGAAAGTCTTCGGGCCTCGAGGTTTGTGCCCCTCCCTTGGTCGCGATGCAATTCCACTGTATCATGTCAATCCCGGAATTCCTAACGCTTCTTGTAGATGGCCGAGCCTCCGCAATTCATTCAGCACCGCCTTGATATTTTCGACAAGATCAAGGCCCGCCAGGACGCCGAAATCGCTGGTGCGTGATGCAGTTCTCCCCGTACCGGCAACTCTTGACCCGCATCGAATCGGCTAACAAGACAAACAGCAAAGCCCCGCGAAGATATCGTCATCTCACTCCCCAATGGAAAGGAGGAGAAGGGTACTTCATGGGAGACCACACCCGGCGCCATCGCAAGGAACATCTCCAAGTCGCTTTTCGAGCGCACTGTCATCTCCCGAGTTGACGGGGAGCTGTGGGACCTGACTCGACCTCTCGAGAAGAGCTGCAAGGTTGAGTTCCTCGATTTCGATCACACCGAAGGAAAGAAGGTGTTCTGGCACTCTTCTGCCCATATTCTTGGAGAGGCCGCTGAACGACGCTTCGGATGCTACCTCTGCAACGGTCCCCCTACTGAGGATCCCCCTGGATTCTACTATGACATGGCCAACATGGGAGAGTATGTTTTAAACAGAAAACCTAATCGATATATGTGCATGTGCTAATAAATTCTCAGGCAATCTGTTACTGAGGAGGACAAGAAGGCTCTCGAGCAACTATCCAACAGCATCGTCAAGCAGAAGCAGCCCTTTGAGCGTCTCGAGATGACCAAGGAGGAGCTTCTTGAGATGTTCGAGTACAGCGAGTACAAGAAGTACTTCATCCAGCAGCGAGTTCCCGATGGCACCAAGAGTACCGTCTACCGATGTGGTCCCCTCATCGATCTGTGCAGAGGTCCCCACGTCCCCACCACCGGCAACATCAAGGCCTTTTCCGTTCTCAAGGTAAGCAACTAGAAACATTTTAAGTTGGACTACAACTTACATAATATAGAACTCGGCAGCATACTGGCTTGGTGACAGCAAGAACGAGTCTGTGCAGCGTATTGCTGGTGTCTCATTCCCCGACAAAAAGGCCCTCGAGGAGTACAAGCACTTCCTGGCGGAGGCCGCCAAGCGCAACCACCGAAAGATTGGCCAGGACCAGAAGCTTTTCTTTTTCGATGAGGCATCTCCTGGATCCGCATTCTTCCTTCCCCATGGTGTTCGCATATACAATGCCTTGATGGACTTGATCAAGGGCGAGTACCAAAAGCGAGATTTCGAAGAAGTGATATCCCCAAATATGTACAAGGCCGACCTCTGGAAGACATCAGGGCACTGGAACCATTATGAAGACAACATGTTTACCTTCGAGGTTGAGAAAGAAAAGTTTGGTTTAAAACCCATGAACTGTCCTGGACACTGCAAGATCTTCGCCCACTCAGATGTCACATACAAGGACCTACCCTGGAGGATGGCTGATTTCGGTACTTTGCACCGAAACGAGTTCTCTGGTGCTCTGTCTGGTCTGACTCGAGTCCGTCGTTTCCAACAGGACGATGCTCATATTTTCTGTACTGTAGACCAGGTAAGACTGTTCGAAACCGGCTGTGTCCGAGTTCTACTGACACATTATAGATCCGAGAGGAAATCGAGTCTGCTTTCGACTTCTTGAGCAGCGTTTACGGAATTTTCGGCTTCACATTCAAGCTCAAGCTTTCCACCCGACCCGAAAAGTACGTTGGTGATATTGCCACCTGGGATGCGGCTGAGAAGAAACTCGAGGAGGCACTTGAGTCTTTTGCTGAAAAGACCGGCGCTAAGTGGGAATTCAACCCCGGTGATGGTGCTTTCTATGGCCCTAAGATTGACATCGCTTTGTTCGATGCCTTGAAGCGTGAGCACCAGTGCGGTACCATGCAACTTGACTTCAACCTACCTCGAAGATTCAAGTTGAGATATGTCGCCAACAAGGGGGAGACTGGTGTTTCCGATGGAAGCAACCCGGAGGAAGAGCTGCCTGCTGGATACGCACGCCCTGTTATGATTCACCGAGCCGTGCTGGGCAGTTTCGAGCGTATGTTTGGTATTCTCACTGAGCACTTTGGTGGAAAGTGGCCATTCTGGCTCAGCCCCCGACAGGTCTTGGTTGTGCCTGTTATG